TTTTAAATAGAACTCAAGGAATTTTTGAGTTCCAGGCTGGGAATCTCCACTTTTTAAATGGAACTAAGGGAGTTTTTAGGGACAGTTCCAGGCTGGGAATCTCCACTTTTTAAATGGAACTCAAGGAATTTTTGAGTTCCAAGCTGAGAATCTCCACCTTTTAAATGGAACTAAGGGAATTTTTGGGTCCAGTTCCAAGCTAGAAATTTGCACTTTTTAAGTGGAACTAAAGGAATTTTTGGGGACAGTTCCAGGCTGGGAATCTCCACTTTTTAAGTGGAACTAAGGGAATTTTTGGGGACAGTTCCAAGCTAGAAATTTCCACTTTTTAAATGGAACTCAAGGAATTTTTGAGTTCCAAGCTGAGAATTTCCACTTTTTAAATGGAACTAAGGGGATTTTGGGGACAGTTCCAATCTGGGAATCTCCACTTTTTAAGTGGAACTTAAGGAATTTTTGGGGTGAGTTCCAGGCTGGATATTTCCACTTTATAAATGGAACTAAGGGAATTTTTGGGGACAGTTCCAAGCTGAGAATCTCCACCTTTTAAATGGAATTCAAGGAATTTTTGGGGCCAGTTCCAAGCTAGAAATTTCCACTTTTTAAGTGGAACTAAAGGAATTTTTGGGGACAGTTCCAGGCTGGGAATTTCCACTTTTTAAATGGAACTAAGGGGATTTTAGGGGATAGTTCCAAGCTGGGAATCTCCACTTTTTAAGTGGAGCTCAAGGAATTTTGGGGGACAGTTCCAGGCTGGATATTTCCATTTTTTAAATGGAACCCAAGGAATTTTTGGGTCCAGTTCCAAGCTAGAAATTTCTACTTTTTAAGTGGAACTAAAGGAATTTTTGGGGACAGTTCCAGGCTAGAATTTTCCACTTTTTAAATGGAACTAAGGGAATTTTTGGGGTGAGTTCCAAGCTGAGAATCTCCACTTTTTAAATGGAACTGGGTGGGATTTAAAGTCATTTCACCCCAATCCATGCTGAAATTCCATGAAATCCCTTGGCCTTGTGGCTGTTTGAAGGATCAGCTGCTGCTTTTCCAAGCAGCTCCATTTTTTCCCCATGTTCTAAAAGTGATCCAGTGATCCTCAAGCCCAAAACTTGTGATTTTTTGGGTCCTGTCTGCTCTAATTCCATGGGATTCTCCAACATGGAATGGTTTTCTCCAGTCCAGATGCTACTCCTCGGGAGGAAGGAAGGGATTCATCTCAGGTTTTGTGGAGAACATCAAACAGGAGTTAGCCAAAAACAAAGAGATGAAGGAAAGCATCAAAAAATTCCGAGATGAAGCCAAAAAGCTGGAGGAGTCGGATGCCCTGAGGGAAGCCAGGAGGAAATATGTGAGTGTTTGGGGTTTCCCTGGTTTATTGAGCTTTCACTGCTCTGAGTGAGCATTAAATCCACAGCTGAGCTGTTCTGCCTGGCTGGGAGCACTCATTATGCCTCAGAATGTTTATTTGTTGGAATGTTTTGGGGTTTTTATTGTTTTATTCTAGTGGAAAGTCCTTTCCAGCAGACGCTTGGCTGCATTTCTGAGCAGATCAAATAATGAGGCATCAAATTGAGCATCAAATGTTTCTTTTGCATTGTTCAGAGAGCTCTGAGCATCATCATTTGCAAAGCTGCTGCTGACTCAGGCCGTGAACTCCTGAAATGTTCCTTTTTCTGCCCTCAATTCCAGCCCTAAAGGATTGAGCTCCATCCAAGCTGGGCTTGAGTGGTTTCTGTCTCTTGATTAATGTTCTCTTCCCCCAGAAAACCATTGAATCCGAAACAGTGAAGACCTCAGAAGTGATTAAAAAGAAGCTTGAAGAAATAACAGGGACGGTTAAAGAGGTAAAAGGATTTTTCCTCAGGGCAGCTCTGCTGGAGTTGGGTTTTGGAGGGGCTGGAATTGCCATTGCTGGGCGCAGGTGCTGCAGCTCCTGGAGCTTTTAAAACAGGAGGCATTCACAAAATACTGGGTTGGGTGGGATCTGAGGAGACCCAGGCAGGGATTCCGCTGGGATTTGGGGGGATGGAGAAGAGGAGACCCCACCTGCGGCCTTGGGAGCACCAAATGAGGATGGAGAGAATGCAGAGGAGCCCCCAGGGCTG